ACACACANACACACACACACACACACACACACACACACACACACACACACACACACACACACACACACACACACACACACACACACACAAACACACACAAACACTGTGTTTTCCTGTTCAAAGTGCGTTCGCTGGTCAATGACCCTCGGCTGCTGTTTGGACTGTGACAGTTTTGTCGGGCTTCATCGCAAAGAAGAAGAAGGAAGACACACCGGGTGAGGAGACATCGCCATGACTACTGAATACCATGACAACAGTGAAGAGGACAACAGCTCGTTCTGGAACAAAGGTACCTGTCTGTCTGTCCAACTGTCTGTCTTCACATGTGGCTGAACTATGAAGCAACTGTTCACCTTCTGAATATAAATTAGAAAGAGTCTGTCTGTCTCCACCTCTCTGTCTCTGTCTCTGTCTGTCTGTCAGAGCCTCGACCTGTCTATTTCTCAGGTGTCCCCAGGTTCAGACGTTGGATATTTCCTGCCCTGACAGCGACAGTCATCCTGGTGCTGATCATAGCACTGGGAGCTAGCAGTGAGCACGCACGCACACGCACACTTTCTGTCATCTCAGTTAATTATTATCACACCGATGTTTGTTCAAGTCTTCTCGTTTCTGATAACTTTGTTTTTAATTAGTTATTGATGATATAAAATCAGGCTAAGACTCATGAGTGGTCAAACACGTGTATGGACGGCACCTTGACACCACGGCTCCACAGACTGACTGACTGCCAATGACGTCATCGACACAAGATGGCAGCGTCAAGATAAATTACGAGATATTTTGTGAAAGGACGTGTCGCCCATGTTTGTTTACAGCTGCTGATATTTATATATATAGTGTATATTTATATATATTTATATATACAGTCATTGATTGACTTGATGTAAAGTTATCATTTGTGAAAAAACATGTTTATTTTTGTTCAGACACGAAGACGTCAAATCGACTGTGGTCTGTGGAGGAGAGTGTTTTGAATCTGACTGAATCGGTGGTCGTGGCTCAGAAGCTCAGTGCAGGTAACGCACCTCGTCCTGTCAGTCAGAGGATGCGATGTCAGCGGTGATGATGGACAGTCGGGTTCTTCTTCTCTTCTTCTAGACGCAGCCGCAGACGTTCGCCGGCTCAAGTTTTCTGTGGAGAACAACAAGGACCAGTTGACGTCAGGTGTCTCACTCACTGCAGATTGATCATTCCTCCAACAGCAACATTAACAATCCCTCATGATAACTGTGTTTGTCTTGTGTCTGTGTGTGTTTGCTCAGTATCCGAGGCCCTGAGGCAGCTCTCGACCCTGGACGCTCTCAGCAGGACGGTCACTTCACTGAAATGTTCCCTCGAACACATCATCAACAACAGTACACCCACACGACCACACCTCCATCTTTCCTCTCCTCAAATTCTGAAACACTTCAATTTTTTCACTTCGCAAAACTATCTCAACCTCATTTTCACAAACATCTGAACTTTTCGAAAACATTTTTAAAAAATTGGCTCAAATTCCAAACATGGTTCCCCCTCTAAGAACGTCGACCAAACACGTCATCACTTTGGCGTCTAAATGTGAAGCCTCAGATTTTCTCTATGTGTCTCTCAGGTTCACAAACGAGCGGCTGTTGTCCTCTGGGTTGGGATGTTTTCCAGACTTCCTGTTATTTCTTCAGCAGGACGCCTTTGTCGTGGCACGCTGCAAGAGACTGGTGCAACGAACACGAATCTCACCTGCTCATACTCAACATTGACAAGGAGTGGGTGAGACAGCCTGTCTGTCTGTCTGTCTGAGCTGGTTTTGACACTGAGTCGCTGTTTAAACACATTTTGTCTTTTTAACAAATAAAAAAACTTTTAACGGGTAACGTTGGTCATTAAAGTTAGACTGTTACTTCAGACCAAACATGAAAGATGGCGTCATCTTCTCTAGGTTTGTTTGTGTTTAGTGTTGGAAGTGGACAGAGCACAGCGACAGAGTTCATGTATTTCTGTGTATATGTCTCTCTGGTCCAGGACTTTGTGACCCACCATTCTAGCGGTGCCTTCTTCTGGATAGGTCTGACCGATGAGAGAACAGGAAACTGGGAGTGGGTCAACCAGACACCGTACGTCATGAACCGGAGGTGAGCTGTCACAGTGTTTCTTTCTTTTCTTATTCCATCAGTCGTTTTTTTTAATAAACGTAATTGATCTTTAAACCAGTTGCCTGTGAACCTGGTGTTGGGATAAACTACTTTAATGAATGTCTGACTGCATCTGGAGGCTTAAATGTCTGTAACATGGATGAAGTAATTTTACTGGAGAAAAGTTCATAATTTTTGGAGAATTAAGATGAAAAATATGTTTTAGGAATTAACCACAGAGGAGATCTGGTGCTTTGGAAGTGGACTGTGAGGTTATGGTTAAATCTGGGTCATATTCAAAGAGCTTTCAGAGTTTCTCACGATTTTACATCCAGAAGGAGAGAAACTCCAGAGATCAGAGTTCTCCTTGATGGTTGTTTACTAAAAGAAGTTTTCTCATTGAATTACTTTACTAATTTAATTTTCTCAAAATGTCAGAGAACACTTGGGAAACATTTAACTTCTAGAAACAAAATCACAGGAAATGTGTTCAGTTGGAAAACAACACAAACATTACGAGAGATTTCTAAGATGTTACAGGTTTTTATAATATTGTGTTAAAAAGAGTAACACAAACACACCTGTGTGTTTCCAGACGGTGGAAACCTGGTCAGCCGGACAGTTGGATCCATCACGGTTTAGGCCCCGGAGACGAGGACTGTGCTCACCTCCACAGCGACGGACGCCTCAACGACCTGCACTGCTCCTCCATGTTGCGCTTTATCTGCCAGAAACACAGCGAGCACAACTAAAGACCGCCTCCTCCGATCAGGCTCCGTCTTTATGCTGCTCACTTCATGCGTCCACACATGAAGACGCCATTAAACAGTTTGATCCAACGAATCAGACTCGTCCGTCTTTGTTGTGTCAGCGAAGTTGATCTGTGCACTTTTTCCTCCTGTGGACTCAAACATGATTACAATTTGGTGGTTAAAGGTCAAAGGTGAAGGCAATATCACAAAACACGATTTTGGCCATGACTCAAGAATTCGCAGTTATATTACGAAAAAATATAAAACAGATGTTTTAAAGAGTCTGGACGGACATGGACGTAAATGAGCTGCTGTTTTAGAGAATTAAAGGTAAAGTTGTGATGTGCGTGTTCAGATTCTGGGAGTTGAAAAGACGAGCGAGGACACGACAGTGAGGGTGCAACAGAGTTTATTAGACTGTAAAAGTTTTTCTCAAAAATAAAACTTTACACAGTTTTGTAGAAAACAAAGAAGTGTGAAAGGAGCGGAAACCTTCAGTTTACAACTTTAAACAAAAACTAAAGCTTTTTAAAAGAACAAACATTCAGATGTCCGAACACTGGAGACAACCACAGACCTTTTGGCAATAAAATGTCACTTTAAGAAAACTTCTTTTCTTGAATCACACAGAAGCTTTAGTGTCTGAACAGGAAACACGAAAACACACGACCCTGGTCAAAGATTTAGGATTTACTGAGTTGGGCCCGGAAATGTATCATTAATATATTAGCATTTAATCAAGTTTCTGTAAATTTCGAGGCTTTATTTCTCTTTCAAAACCTTCTCGTCACAAACAGGGTTAAAATACTGAACTCTTTTATTTCTTTAATTTCATTTTTTGAACCAAAATAATCGGAGTAATTTGGATCCAGTCAATACAACACTCTTT